AAAAAATTGGTTTAAAGCTATAAAACTTGGTAGCTATATGTAAATTGGGGTGTAGAACAATAAAATTTAATAAAAAAGATGTGTTAAAAGGGCAGTTTTAAGAAAATTTAAGTTTTGTTTTAGCAAAATTTTGGTACAAGTGATCATCGGGAAGAGTTAATAAATCGGGTCCTAGTTAATACTTTTAATTTCAAATAAAAAAAATATATATGTGTGACAAATTGTTATGCTGATCACTTTTACTAAAAAAAATTCGCAATTATATACGAGTTATATATCGATATAATACAATAAAATAAGCTTACAAAAAATATATGCAAAAGTAAACACGATTATGTATGTAAAATCAGCCACCAGGGCCAGCTTTATTGATAGGATAAGTAAAAAAATTATATATAATAGAAACAATGATAAGAAAAAAACTATATACAATAGATTAAACAAATTCATAAAAAGAAAGAGAAGATATAAGGTTCATTATGCAACCTATTAAGAACTGCATTGATCAAATATTTAGGCAATTGCTCTATATCTGTCATAATGATGGGATACATAGATAGTTGTTCCGATAGTTCTGCTATCTCTAGTACTATATTTATTGCACCAGGAGTAAAGCTACCTATAGAGGGACCTACTATTATACTAATAGTCTCTTTTGGTTGCTTGGTTCAAGTAGGCACACCAAGCAACTCATCTACAACCGGGCAATCTGTGAATATATTTAATATTATTAATTGAATTTTAACCCAAATATCTGATTTAATATAATAATAATCCTATATTGAGTCTGACCCAATTTTTATATTGGATAATAAATTGTGTCATGACAATTTCACATATAATATCAATACCACTATTGTCCAATTTTCTAAATTAAAATAAAATGTGAATACTTGCATCATAATTATCAACTAATCAAAGAAGTTGCACAGGTAGAATAGTCAACAACAGTGCTTTCTATATTAGAGTATATCCTATTTATCATGAATTTCCAGTGCCTAAGCATCTCGGGAATATCAAAAACTAAAAAGAAAGAATATTCATTGCTAAAACAGTGGCCATGATGTGCTTTCAATTTCTTACTAGATATTTACACCGATGTGACAGCATAACTTCAAATATACAACAACTTAACAAATAACTCAATGAGAAACTCACCCTTTATAGATAACTTTAGCACCAATGCTCTTTAGTATTTCAACAAGATCCACTTCGAATATTAATCCTTTTATATAAGGTAATTTTATAATTACTATAGCAAGAGTGACAAACTCCCCCTCGATACAAAGAAGTTCTTCAAAATTCATCTTCGTTTTTTTTTAAAAAAGAAATAATTGAAAGTAATAAAAAAAATAAAGCAAAATCACTAAAAAGTGATAAATAACAATGCTTTCACTATACTACCCTTTATGAATGAGTTTCATCTATCTCTGAATAGCAGTACCAATAGCAGGACAATAAGGAAAAAAAAAAACTTATGCACATCTTCCAATTTTCACATTCAACATTATACTACCTTAGTCACAGAGAAATCCTTAGGTATGTGAAATGCATGTTGGAGATCTCGAAATCTTCAGCATTACGGCATAAAGAAAGTTCGCTAAGTATTATATTTTACTTGACCACCTAGAAATGCCCTTAGCTTTTATTAAAAAAACTATAAAAACAGAAATACAGTATATGTGTTTTAGTTAGTATAAATAAGTTTTTATACTAGCTTTAAGATGATCTAAAGCTTGGTATTATTTTTTCTATATGAATGTTGAAAAATAAAATTTAAAAAAATTATTAGTTGCACAGATAATATATATGTCATAAGATTGTTGTTCAAATTTGGGTTGGGGTACTATTTTGAGAAAAAATTAAAAATGATACTTTGTACTCATTCTACATGAGTTATATAATAATAAGCCTTATAGTACTGTACAAATAAATTTATATATATGCGAAATTTATTCTAACACTTAATGATAATTTATTCGAGAATTATTACATTTATATCGCTTATATATTCCATCCGCTACTTTTTTGTAGGTTTTGCAATATAGATGTGAATAATGATTGCATTCATCACAAATATTATACCTGTGTTTCTATACTTTAAAGATATACTACTTTTCTAAGTAATTTTGTTTGTTCTGATTTTTTATCATCGTTATACTATTAATAGAAAAAATAATATACATGTGGTTAT